AAAAAAAAAGGAAAAATATCTCACATTGTTCATAACGTACATATAAGATGCGTCACAGGCTTAAAATCTTTCAACAGCATTTTGGGGAAGTTCAGTTTATGAAATCAGAACGTTTAAAACAAGTGAGGAGGAGGAGGAGGGATGAATAATCCGAACGCTCCACATGGAGATGAAGGGGAAAACAAAAAAAAAGGGGGATTTCTCCGGGTCTGATTTTCTGTTTCTGTACCGACGCTGTGAGTTTTAACCTCCACACACAGAATTGCTTCTTTTAACTCTTACACTTCTGAAGAACATCTTTCTAAAGACGCTCTTTTTCTTTTCCGCTGTCGTCACTGGAATTTTAAAAAGGGGGGAGATGCGAAGGGGGGGACAGGGTGAGGACGTTGTGGAAACTCCCTCTGGTTGTTGTTTAAAATCTAGAGATGAATTGAGAGAAACGCCTCGATGCAGTAAACTCCAAACATCTGGTAACAACGCTGAGTTTCCGCTCTATCACTGGAAAATGATTATCTCTGGGATTCGTACTGAAAACTGGACCGTCTTCTGCCGTAGTTTCAGACTTTACGATAAACCCTGCAAATAATCGGATTATTCGACGCTAACAATAATCTAATCGATATTTAACCTTGTGTTCTATTTGAAGGGAAAACATGGCGCTCAAATAATGACTCAGTTATACGTCCTCAGCTGATGAAGAACCGAGAGGAATTCGTTTATTTTGTTCATACACGACAAATTTTTTTTAAAGCAACACAATGAGACTTTTACTGAGCAACAGCGCCCTCTGCTGCAAATGGTGATTCATTCTGTCGGGCTCAGAGTCCGAGTGATGAAGTGGTTGTAGAGAAAAAAAACAAACCAGGAGCTCTGACTTCTTCGTCCAACTCACTAAACTGAAACACACCTGAACGCTGGATATTACCCAGAATCCTCTGCTTCCTGAACCTGCTTCATGTTTTGAAGTTTGCTGCTGAATAGTGGAGATAAACTCTGGTGGTTAATAACGTCTCAGTGTTTTTGAACTGATCACAGTTCAGCTTCACTGATTGTGACAGTTGAAGCTGTGACTCTCCGTCACTTCTTCTCACAGGAGATCGAACCCACTCACCAGAGTTACAGACGCTCAGGGAGTGAAGGAGGAAACTTTCTCCGTGTTCACACTCAAACATCAAAGTTTAATCAGGCTGCTGCTCTGAGGTAAAAAAAAAAAAAAAAAAGTTTCATAGTGTTACTTTAAAATCGTGCATGTACAAAATAATAACATTTCAAATTATCTGAAACTCGTGGTTTTGCAATTAATGAATCTTAACTTTGTATTTGTTCAGGTTGTATCTTTAAAATCATGGGATTTGAGATCCGGAATTGTTTTATGATACAATAAATTGAAATGAGCGAAGCCGTAGAACGAGCATCACACTATTATCCAAGATAGCGATGCCTCAATGACCCTATTTTCAGAAAAGGGGTTTGTACGCTGCCAACGTGTCCACTGGTTTTTTCTATGAACCTGAAGTACCAGATGTGCAGAGTTCACGGCACCTGCGCAGCTCACAAAGCATCAGGAACGCTGTCAGTCACAGCGAACTGACCTTTACTGTGAGATCACTCCCTGCAGTCAGTCGAACTTCAGACTAAAACATCGCTGCTCCCCAGCTCCCTCCCTCCCTCCCTCCCTCCCTCCCTGCTCGGCGGGATGCTACCAGGACGACAGCGATCGGGTGAAACAGGAGCGACAGACCTTTACTCATCCAGAACATTTATAAAAAAAAAAAAAAACAAAACAAGGAAAATCAGAAACAGGGTGAAGGTTGCATTAGATGAGTGAATACTGAACAAAACAACTGAAATTCTGTGGACCAAGTCAGTTTTTCTCGTTAAAACACTTTTCTCTCTGTGGAAACTGCCGTGTGGGTGAAAGTCATGGGAGAGTAGCGCGAGTAGAAATGCTAAATATGGGCCTATCAGTCTGTTCGTGTGAGAGAGAAGAGGCAACAAGCTCTGGCTAAGACTGTGATTGATGTGTTCACTGCCTGACCGTGTGTGTGTGTGTGTGTGTAACAGGGCAAGTATGTCCAGCGTGTTGCACCTGGGGCCGGGGCTCAGGTTACTGGAAACCTCTGTACGTCATCCACAGCCAATGACAAACTCCCCAGCATGCATGTGTGTGTGTGTGTGTGTGCGTGTGTAAGCAAAAAAAATCCCAGACGTCATCAGGAGTCACTGACAAAAAGCCGAAACGGGGGCACGGACGACTTCTCCTCGCCTAAATAGGGCTGCATGACCACTCTGTGTGCGTATGAGAGCAGGTATGGGAAACACCACATGACCATGGCATGTGTCTACATGACGTACAGGCGTGTGTGTGTGTGTGTGCACGTACATGCCACTGCTTCCACAGTATACGGTTCACTTGCAGAGATTTAGTGTGTACATTAGGCTTGTGTTTGCATCCCAGTGTCAACGTCTGTAATTTGTGCTTTTACCTTTCACAGCGTTTTGTGTGTGTGTGTGTGTGTGTGTGTGTGTGTGTGTGCCACTCTCCCTCGCTAACCTGAACTGTGCTACGGACCGTATGAGGTAAAACTGAAAATGTAGACGTGCAACGTCTCGAAACACCTGCTTCGCTTTACTCAACAGCTCCTTGTGCAGAAAACTGAGTTTGATGAGCAGAGCAGCGGCAGCAGGGCGGGAAAAACTCTTTTCTATGCGTCGGCCGAAGCAGCTGAGTGTCCGAAACCTCGACAAGATACTTACGATTTTTTTAATTTTTAAACTAATAGTTTGCTAGCTGAGCTTAGCATAAAGCTTGAAAATGTGAAAGCAGCTTCCCTGGCTTAGTTTAAAGCTCACTAATTAAACAGTATCTCTGAAATGTAAAGCTGGAGCCACAAAACTTCAGTAAAAAATTCAATTAAACGAACAAGTTAAAATATTTCAATTAGCGAGATGTAAGCGGTAGGTCATTTCCAAAGCAAACTGGTTAGCTTCATATTTAGCGTATGGATACAAAAGTAGTCTCAATCTTCTAATAAGTATATTTCCTAAAATATTCTAGTATTCCTCTAAAGTTTCAGTTTTCTGCAAAGTGGCTCTTACAGAAGACAGAATTTAAGACAGACGAAACTTTCCAGCATTTGATTGGTGGCTGACGTCATTTCCCCGCCCTGCTGAGTACCAACTGTGTCACAAAACAAAAAAAAAAATGTACGAAATATCAGTACCTATTGCAACAAATAAATAATATGTGCTACAGAATATGAAGAGAGTAATGCTTTAAGGTTTTTCCCGTTGAATTCGTGCACCGGCATTGTACCGCAGGTCTCGGAACTGTAACGCAGAGGCAACGCAAGCTAACTGTGGCGCTGTGTGCGAACGCCACGAATATCGTGGGAACCATTGTAATCCAAAGGTTGCCGGTACTGTCCGTACCTGCAGCGGAAAGTGGGGGAGGGGGGGAGCACGGTAATTGTGCGATGCCACTTGGTGACAAACTTGTATCATCTGAGGGATAATTCATAAAAAAATTGAAATAAAAGATTTCTACCACAACGTAATAACTGCACGGTACCCTATTTAGGATGGATTATGTATGGGGTAAAAAAAAAAAATGAAGATGAATAATAGCAAAAGATAAAAAACAATATTTAAGTTCAATGCAACATAAAAATGTCCAAGTCTGTACCATAATGCCTTTGCTTAGCATTCCAGCCTCCCTTTTTCAATTGTCAAAGTTCACCGTCTGCTGAACACGAGGGTGGGGGGTGTGGGGGCAGCACACATTGGTAGCATTGATTCAGAGAAGGGAAGGGGACGATTTAAAAAATGAAAAAGAAAGAATATGCATATGTATCGATATATATGCATATATAAAAATAAAAGATGTAATACACTTAAAAAAAACTTAAAAAAAAAAAAACTGCAAGCTTTTTTTTTTTCTGTCCTCTGTTGTTTGTTGTTTTCTGGGTCCAGAAGGGAGCGGCTGCTCGGTCAGGGTGGAGGTCAGAGGTCACTGGTGCGGGAGGCCACGAGCGGAGAGATGAGGACGAAGAGGAGGAGGAGGAGGAGGAGGCGGAGGAGGAGAGCGGGGAACCTCTGACGTCCTCGTTCAGTCTGAGAGAGAAGATGAGAGAGACAGAGACGTTGGTGTGAAACTCTGGTCAGGTTGTTATCGGAGCTGGTCAATGTGCAGCTCTTGACACAGAAAAACCACAAATCTAATTTTTGTCGTGTAACGGAGGTTTGATATTTTACAGTTTAAACACAGAATTTATTACAAATACCTGTAAATTAAAAAGAAAACTAATATACAGAACCTTAATTAAGAAAATGTTTTGGTGTTAACTCAAATGCTTTCCTGCATTGTGCTTCCATGTCGACAGGTTCACGCTGATACCAACGCGTCTTTGAAAGGCTCATATCAGCAGGTTTTTTTTTTTTTTTTTTATTGGTGTACAAAGGTTTCGTTTCTGTAAATAAGTATTGGCAGCTGTGGAACACGAAAAACACTGAAGCAGGAAACTTAACGAGTTAAAACGTTTTCTGTCAAAAGACGAAGGAGCGTGTGGCTCGAGGATGAGTATTTTCTGGTAATTTAAATTTCACTGTAATTTAAAAAGTTCTATAAAGTAAGATAAATGAAGTAGGAAGCAGGATATGGAGGAAGAACAAACACTATGTCGTCAAGATTTACTTTTATAGTCTATTCAAATAAAGCACAGTATTTCTGTATTTAAGAGTATCTATCACTTGACAGCACATTCGTTAAAAACAATAAATAATAATTAACACAACTGACAATGCTCAGAAAATACATGAGTCACAGTCGTTTATTCACTCTACACAGGCTCTCGACTTTTCATGTATGAGTTTTTGGGTTCAAACTGCGACTGACTGATTTTCTTCATTACAAAATAAATCTGAGAAAACAATCGACAGCAGCGGTGAAAACAGGAAGCCTTCACAGAAGTGACAGCTACCGTGGCCCACGGAAAAACTGTTGTTTTCTATTTGCCTGATGTGACCCGCCGACACGCACACACACACACACAATAACACACAACACATGGATAAACACACACGGATACACACAGTGAGGAATGTGGCTGGTTTGCTGACAGTGGTTTTGGACAATATTAGTTGTTTTTGGACATTTTGAAGCCCGGCGGTGGTGCTGACTAATTATGACTGGAATTTGTTTGGCGGAGGAGTGAAAACCTCGCTTCTCTCAACTTTTAGAGATTTTCTGAAAAGTTACAAGACCCTGAAACTTCATCAAACCCTCTTATGGGGTATTTCGGAGCCCCGGTGTTTCCTGTCGCTCAATCCGTGGATAAATTAATCTGCGGACGATCGCAGCCGCTGTGGCACAAACAGAATCGGTTTTCTTAAAGCTTGTTTAACGCAGCGATAAAATGTGGGTGAAATGATAGAGTCGAGCCGCGGGTTCCCTGGCGGCAGTAAATGCTTATAATCACAGTGAACTCTGGAGTATTTTGGCGTCTGTACAACTGTTGCCGAGTGTGTGAAAGCTTTTCAAAGACGCAGCACAGATGTAAGACATCTTTGACCGCGTGGGCGGCTTGGCTCGCACTACAAATCTGTTTGTCTGGTAAATAAGTGAGCGTGGCCGGTGAACTTTGGATTCAGAAGCGCTTCCAGCAGACACACAACACACACATAAACTACACAAAGTTTGTTTCCTGCCCTGCTATGATGGCCGGACCCAGGACTGTCAGGTTGGCTGTTTTGGTGAGGCACGGCGGCCCCGAATGACCCGAGCGATGGCCGGCGTCCAGCTGGGTTATTCCGCTGAGAGCGAGGCTTTGTCTGACACAACAATGTGAGCAGCACGCCTCAATACAGATGCTTTGACAGGGGGCACTGCTGGAATGCTGCTCCTCTGTTTGTTAGCCACGGTGACAGAGGGAGAGATGAGTGGGACGGATTGATAGAAAGACGGGAGTACACAGAGGAGAGGAGCAACGGCAACGGCAGCCCAACCACGATCCCATCCAACCAAAGAAAAACATCAGACATCTGTTTCACTCTATGTAAACTTCAATGCTGTTTGGAAATCAACAGACGGTAACAAAGTGGCTGAGACGCACGTTAACTAAATACAGACGGAGAAACCACAACACTGACACCAGTGGACACCCATGACCGTAAATAAAGATGGATGACGCATCTCTACTTCCTCCGAACGTACAAACATGAAGCCTAAAACGCTGGACACGGGCCGCGCCATCTTGCTCCGCTGACGTCTTTTAGAGCCAGAGTCTGCGTCACAGTATCGAGGTCCCCCCCGATAAACACACTCGACCGTTCCAGCTGTTTCATTTTACATTTCTTTTCTACAAAAATCACAGGAACATTTTATTGCGAAGCTGCGACGGCACGCGCTTGCGTCCCAAATCCGACTGCTGTTGCTCAACTACGCATTATATTTAAACACAAACACACACACACTCGATATGAGAAGTGATCCTGGCTTGTTAAAGAGTGTTGACCAGCGGTGTTAAGTGTTGTATACGGGCCCTTTTTCTGACATGTCACAGTAGGAGAAGCGCGGGTGTAAATAATAAAATGAATGACGGCTGCATTCCATTTCGCTCCTTCAGTTTCAGGGTGCTGGTGTTTTGCACGCTGGCTCACTGTCACACGGTCACGCTGGGACACTTGAACTGAACAGATCCGTGGTTCGTGTCATCAGTGACACCTGTGCTTCTCCCACAGTGACGTGTGAAAACGTCACGCACCAGGTGTGTGTTTGAAAAGAGCAGAGCCGGAACAATGTTGACTTTTGGGGCTTAAAACTGAAACCGGGAAAATAATTTAGAAACCAATACACGTACATGAATGGCAACGTGCCTAAGTAAATCAGTAAATCACAGTAGATGGTAATAAAAAAGATTCTATCCCGACTCATGGATGTTTGAAGACCAATGTTGAAACTAATAATTGAGAGTTAAACATCTTTGGTTGAATGCATCAGCCAGTAAACACACAGAGAAATAAATGGCAATGATTCTGAATAACTAATATATAGTTCTGGATAAATTCCTGACATTTAGGAGTGAAAACATTCCCGAGATGAATAAATCAGCTGACGTGTATTTTAAATTGTCAAATGTCCAATTTGTCCCGAGACGTCATTATCAACCTCTAATGATAAAGAAACGAAAATCTCAACCAGATATATAAACATCTTTTTGTGTAACATATGAACATGAATGTATATATTTTCTTTTTACGTTTTCTGGTACTGTGTATGTTCCTGTAACAATACAGCGTAGTACTGTGAATGATAAACACATGGAAAAACTGCTCTCAGTTATGGTCATGACAGTAATGCAGACTTTAAGTTGTGTGAATGTGAGACAGACGGAAAAAGAGAGGGAGAGTGTGTGTGTGTGTGTGTGTGTGTGTGTGTGTGTGTGTGTGTAGTCTGAGGTCTCTGGGTTTCTCTGCAGTCCAGGACTTTGATCAAAACAACGCTCTTAGGACACAGGCCCGTCTGACCTGAACTGACCTCAGTTAAGCACAGACACACACACAGACACACACACACAGACAGACACACACAGACACACAGACACACAGACACACACACACACACACACACAGATACACACACACTGACTAAATCAGGTTATAAAAGCCCCGTTTGCCAAACACCTGCATTAGCTAACAGCTTGATGTGTCATTGCAGCACAGACAGGTGTTCAGACTGTCCCTCTCTAATTCAATCTGCCCCCGACCGCCGCCCATCTCTCTTTCACCGTCCCTAAACCCTTATTCACCCAGCCGGGACAACAGATGAAAGGCATCATGGGAGTGACGGCGAGCGTAACGCCTTGACCTGACACGGGCTGGCGTGGCAGCAGGGGCGACGACCTTTTCACTGCAGATCGAGGGACGGAAATTTGATCGGCCGCTCGATTCCCTACTCAAAGTTGCGGTTCACCATTTTTTTTTTTTTTTATATTTCCACAGATTCTGGGTTTCAGTTTCCGAGCGCAGCAGACAGGAGAGAGACAGATTTAGATCTTTTTCCATTCCATTCCTTACGGCCTAACAAGTGCACCAAGATAAATGGTCACATTCAACTCTGTTTAAGTAAATATCGGTATCAGCATATAGCATTATGCAAATAAAGAATAAACAATGCAGAAAAGATGTGC